CTGAAAGGTCAAGATGACTATCAGCCAACATCGGGAAGCCTTTACTGCAGCCGCGCTAGAACCGTCGGACCTTGCGGTCAAGCAGTTCCTTGGAGATGGGCTTCCGCGCCCAGTAGTCGCTCCGGGCCGTTTCGATGGGCCGCGCCGACGACGAATAGGACGCTTCAGGGTCGATTAATGGATCACTCGCTCGCAACCCATGAATGATGCTTGAGGAACAGTCGCGTACATCGCATGGATCAGGCCTCGAGACGGGAACACCCAGGTGAACCATCGGCGAAGGCGCCGTCCGACTGGCTAATTCTGGTGGGATGAACAAACATGTCTCATACCCCGTCTATCTAACTGGATGGAAGGCCAGGGTTCACCATTACGGCTTGCGTACCGACGCCGAAAAGTCGAAGCCGTGGCCAACTCACATCTCAGGAGGTATGGGCACCGGAGCACACCAAAGACGGCAAATTGGCTGTTGGTTCGTCCGGGGAACATGCCGTTGGTTGCTTCTTCCACCCGACTACTGTGGTGTGGGAGCTGGAGATGTCTTCTTATAAGAACGAGGCCAACCAGAATTTGCACTTTGATCAGCATCGATGGCTTTGATTATTTGCATCATGTATCAAGAAGCGCTTGGCGACTGTAATTCTGCCTTCAACGACAGAACTGTTGAAACACCTGGAATATGGACAAGTTTGCTGTCGCTAGTACTCGGCCCATGCTTGGGTCTTAAGTATGATTGCGATCAGACAGTGTATTACGCTATGGCCCCCGTATCAAGATCGCAACTTGCTAACAGCTACTTGCCGACCCAGTGCGAGCATCTCCTCGAAAAACGGGAAGAACTCTCACCTACTTACATCGTTTCACACCGAACATACCGACGAACGATCGCAGGAGGTCATCCTTTCTCTGCCGCCAGTTGCAACGCTCCGGTCCCATCGAAGCTATGGAGGAAGCACACTCTGTCAGTCGATAAAAGGAGGCCGTTGCGATTCTCTTTCAACAATTTCTACAGCAAACTCAGTAATGTCTTGTGTTGATTCGGACACAACGTCGATGGCCGACGATCTTGATGTTGAGCAAATACGACGTCGAGAGCTTGCTGACGAGGATCAGTAAGTATTCTCACATGTTCTCTGCCACGCAAGATACTAATGAGAAGAAACTACGCTTTCTTCAGACTCGCGGGGAATAAATTCAGAGATAGCTGCATTCCAGGGAAAGTGAGAATCCTTTGCGCTGGCAGCGGCGCCGTAGACTGGGGACGGTATGTATTCAACACTACATGGTCGAGCTATCATTAACACATACCATGAAGACAAATAGCTGTCGAAAACCCCCTCTCGATGGTGGTGATCCTAGAAAAAGAGCCATTTTCTTCACATTTACCGCGAAATTGCACGGTGGAGGAGGGAGATATCATCGAATACCCTCGCAAAGGCTGGGACTACGTCTTCATTCGAAATTACCGAGTCGTCACCGATTGGACCCAGTACTTCAGCCATCTTCACAGTATTACCGAACCTGGCGGACGAATTGAGCTTGTGGACGTGGACGACGCACCAGAAGCTATTTGCACGTGTGCGCAGCAGCCGACGGATTGGACCAGAGCCAAATCGAAGAAATGTGGCATATGCTTGAGATATCCTTCAGTCCAGACTCGTCGCAACATGCTTGGAGTTTCTGGTTTCTCTGATTTGGCTGTTGTATATCACAACCGTCCGCGGCGGGCGCAGAGAAAGGCGGTGGTTTCTAGGTGTGTCTTTGATGTCGTTGTATCTCTTTTGACACTAACTTATGTGTGGTTATAGTGTAGCTATTATGGGCAAGGCTTATCATAGAGTGGGCATTAATTTTTTAGAAGAAATGTGGTACTAAGGCAGAAATCCAGGATACTTTGTTGTTTAGGCAGGCATTTCGAATAGCCAATCATGAGCCGCTGCAAGAACTCGTTCAACGGCCCAACAGCCACTCCGATTGAGCAATCGGATGGATGCCCCACTTTCCCCAGCCTTTCGCCTTGCCACGCCATCTCACTATACTGCTGGTGTAGAGAACAATGCCAAAAGGTGCTCGACATCTCGCGCTTGCGATTTGCAGCTCGTCTCGAGAGGCAATCGACTTCACGATCATGGAAGTGAGCATGGATTATGTGGCCTGCAGCTTGGGCGAGACGCTCACCTCGTTGTATCTCGTTATCTTGCCAAAGCCTGTCTTTCATTCTAGGTGTATTGGGAAGGGATACAGCTTCCTTTATCGTCATGGGTAGTTGTATTGGTTCTTTGAGAGTTTTAGGGTTTCCTTCATCATGGTGCCCTCCAAAAGTCGCCGCTCCTCCTGTATGTCCTTTAGGAATGCAGGCTCCTCGTTCTCCAGCGCGTGCAAGCTCTTCATCTTGTCCTCCTGCTCTCTCAACAGGCGCTCAACGCCGGGCTTGGCGTGCTGGAAAAATTGGCGAATTTGCGCGACAGTTGACAAGTCTCCGTGAGACGCTCGTGCCTCGAGGATCTGCAACTCGATTGCATGGATTTCCTTCCGGAGCTCATTGGCGGTCCGAGCAAAAAAGTCGATATCTCCCAGAACCAAGCGATGCCAGCGGCAACGTTCCTCACTCGCCGAGATACATGCCAGGAGTCGCTCCTGTAATTCGCGCTCAGCATGAAGATCCTTCTCTGCTATCAAGTTTTCAGCATCGAATGTACCGGTAGCCGACATCGCAAGGTGAGCGAGCTCAGTGATGTGCGCCAAGACGATGTAGGTGATAGCGAGTAGGCTGCGATGGGAGGGTAGACCCGATGAATCTCATGGGATGGTCAGACATCACCTCAGGTCAAAGCCTGGCTATGCTGGCTCGTACTTGCTTATAGGAAGCTGTACATGCTCATGACTGTATACAACACTCAATCTGGAGGTGGTTGATCATAGCCAGCAGATCTTGCATGTACAAGCATGGGGAGAAGTCGCCGGGGATGCTCGTCTCTGTTCCAGCAGTGGCAACACCATCTTCGTGGCCCATGCTGTCCGAGGTCTCGTAGAGCAGGTACTCAACCGTATTGTACTCCAACGTTAGTTTATCGAGGTTAACGAACTTTTTGAAATGCTGAAAGAAATTTGCGCGCATGTCATGGAACCTATCGGGGAGCTCAAGAGTCGTTATTGACTCTGCGTGGCGTTGAAGCTCACCAAGAAGCTCATGTACCTGCGTTTATCCAAAAGTAATCTTTACACGGAGCGATTATTTTAGATCTTCGTACGCAAACGTACTGTAGCTATAAAGGGAGCTATCCGAGGCGACTGTAGGGCTTGTAGGACTTGACATTCGTCACTTCTGGGTACGTAATCTGTGTATATCGCGGCTCTTACGGGCCATTCGGTACGAGCTACAGCAAAGCAACTTCGTATGGAGAGGAAGGTGGTTTTGCACATAACTGTAACGCCACAAGAGCGGTTGCAATATGTATTAGGAAATGCCTTCACACCTAAGGCTACTAATGGCCTCATCATAGGCGGCTATCACTGGTCTATAGAGTTGATCAGGCTTCCCGGTTGGGGTTCCCATGGACAACCTGGCCGTGTCTCCGAAGAGGATCTTCCTGATCTTCAGGCAAAGTGGCTTCAAAACGCCTAAAGGCTTCGGGAATTCGCCCATGATGTCTTCCAGTCCATCTACAGTCATGTGTCCTCTTTTCACATCTGCAATATCTTGAAATCTTCCAATCTCCCACTTCCGTAGACGACTCTCTTGTGGTGGTTTCTCTTGATTCGCAAGCCCATTGCGCCATGATTGACGCGCACACATCCAAAGTAAGACGTAAAAGAAGGACTCGAGATCGTGGCGGTATGTATGATCGACTCTCCGCAGCACCTCCACTGCCATGAACTGCATCGTGCCGGTCTGGTGTCGCGCTCCGCTGGGACCGCTGTCCCTCTCCTTTGCCAGGTCAAGATCAATCAGCATACCTTTAAACCCGCCTGCCACTTCGGGTTTCGTGATGATGATGTTATTTGACGAAACATCGCGGTGTAAAATGTTGCCCACTATGTAAAGAGACATGTGCGCCTTAATCGCGTCGCGCATCGCCGGAAGTAGCTCCTCGATCGTCCGGAAGTCACTGATCACCCGGCCAGCTGGTGAGATCACGAGGCAGGAGTATATCCTATTCTCCCACAGGTCCTCGCTGGAGGTGTACAAGCTTGGCCTTGTTGGGTTGGACAGTGAATGACTCATCGTTTGGAGCAGCTTCGGCTTCTGACTGCTGGACCGCAGTCTTTTAGACCCCGACGCGCTATCGGAGGTATGATCGGAAGAAGACTTGCGTTTGCCTCCGCTGCTAGTCGACGGCAAATCGTCAAAGTGAACCGTCTCATTCCGAAATCGGTGGCGTTCTCGGAATTCCAAGCCCTCCCGAAGCTCTGCGATGGTGGTGATCTGGCGGTGTGCCACAACTCTCGCCACCCCTTGAACGCCTCTCTCTTCGGCCAGCTTCAGCTGCTCCACCTCCAGCTTCCGCTTATCTGATACCCACGAGAACTTTGCAACGTTACCGCCTCGCGTCTCGAAACAGGTAGTGCCGCGACATACCACAGCCTTTTGCCGGACGATCGGCCTGCCTAGCCTAATACTTGTTTCGCCGCCGCTTGCATCGCTCAAAGTGACACAGTAATGTCCGTGCATTCGCGCGACAAACGTATCAAGACCCATCGCGGCATCATCCATTGTGGCGTACCCGACTAGCGCTCGAGCAAACTTCTCTGGCTCATCGTGGATATTGAATGTACCCGAGCTGTACGGTCCAGACCGATCGAAAATCCATAGCTCCATCATCGAAGCGCAGAGCAAGAATGCGTGAACGTATCGGCGGGTCGGTTGGTCGGTGAAGACACTTCGGACGTATCGCGTGAGTTGGAGGAAATCCTCCTTAAACCGGCTCCTGTCGTAAGACTTCTTGTGCTCTCCGATGACGAGGATATCTTTATACGTCGGCGTATTACCCGGCTGCGTGGCTGGTATTTGGAAGAAGAGATCCATCTGACCTTTCCGTTCCTTGAAGTGGTTGGCGGTTTTGGTGGTATGAAGCTTGTGAGGTGCGTCAGATAGGAAACGGTCCTCCAGAGAGCGAAACCAGACCCAGACTGGCTTCTCATCGGGAACGATAGGAAACTCCGTCCAACTCTTCCCGTTATGTGCTGCCATGACACCCTTCAGCATCGCTTTCTGTTCTCTATTCCAGCTCTCAACGTTGAAGAACTTATCCACGAAACCATCAACATTGCGAAAAGTACAATCTTTAATTTCGAAAAAGAGTTCTCTCTCGACAATGTCACGCGTTTCAGTATCGGCAAGTCGACTGGAGCTGCTTTTGACCGGTGTACCTTTGAAGGTTGCGGCGAGGCTCGACGGGGGCGTGATGTCGCTGACGGTTTCGATAATCGTGTAAACTTCTTCCCAAATGTGCACGTCAGAGGATACAATGGCGTGTTCGATGAGAGGACGGAATTGGCCGAGGTCGACCAACCCCCCCCTGATCCGCTTTAGTATGGCCAGGAGTACGGATGCCACGTCGCCACGTCCGTCAGGGGAAGGAAGGCTGAATGCCGCCGCTGACCCAACCAGGGCTGAGAGAAGACTGGCAACATCTTCCTGTTGGGGTTCGTCGGCTGTGTTGGTATCGCGTAGCTTGTCTCGAAGCGGGTTGAGAATGGCAGCTAGGGGGCGCTCCGAGATGATCTGGAGCTCCTCCTCTGACAGTGTCATTCTGGGGACTGGCGTACCAAGACCATGACTGAGTGCTCGATCAGTGACTCGGATGGTTGACTCGGGAAGTTAAGGGACTCGAGTGGGTATGTTGGACACCGCTTGAACTCGAGACTAAGGGTGGAAATGAGGAAAACACGACCTGCACTTATCTCCTTACAGCTTGTGGCTGATTGATGGCATGGCCACAGCGGTGGCCAATACGGCTTAGCGCACTGTCATAAACTCAACTTCGATTGGCTTGGATGAGCGTCACGTGCGCGGTACTGGAACGCTCACTTTGTATCACATGGAAATGACCCCTCACTCGTACGTCAGCCACAACTTCCTCGTCGCCTCACCTCCCATCGCGTCGCGTCGCAGCGCTACTCGTTGGAGTGCTCGTCTGAACTGGCATCCTCTGCATCTCTAGCTTGCACCTAACTCTGACCATGCACGGAGGGTAGTCAACATAGCCCGTATCATCGCCCCTCCTCTCTGCTATAAAAGCGGCGGACGAAAGGTCGACGTAACGACAAACACACAACCGATTACGCCGCTGAATGATAAAGCAAACTTCGGAAGTTGAAGATGGTATTCAAAGGTCCGATTTCTATGTGTCTGAGGAGCACAGCTCCTGACTGAAGGATTTGGATGAGCAAATGGCGTTTCTGAAAGTGGATTATGTTCCAGTTATACCTAAAATGTTGACTCCTCAGCGGATTGTTTGTTTCTCCTCGAGCGGCGATGCGGAGCGGGCTGCAGACGACGATACGGACGAAAAGGGTGCAGCAGCAGCAGCAGCACCCTCCTTCGCCAGCGCGATCATGTCCGCGTTGAGCGGCAGCAATGTACAGGTTACATCGGAGAGGGAGGCCCCCGTGCCGACATACGCAACGAAGCAGGAGGCTCCCTGCCCGACCAATGGTGAGTCCCCATGACGGACCACTGGCACATTAGCTATGCACACGCCAGACAGGACAGGGACCCTAACGTGCATCGGTCTTGGGGCTGTCTTCGGAGAACGTTTGGTGCAATGGCTTGCTCTCCGTCGCCGACACGGACCAAGCTCGGTAGATGTCCAGCCAGGCTTGTCAGACAAAGCGAGGCCATCGGCAGTGACCAATCAAGTTGCTTGATCGAACAGCTATTTGACGTGATAATGCAACAAGCGTAGCATAGCAGGTGTAGGGTAATTGGATCCGGGGACACCGACTGCGTCCATAAGTTGAAAAGTGCCCTGCCAAGAAAGAGAAACGATCACATTATCCGCTCGCAACCATGCCTCTCGACACCCCAGCCCCGAAAGACCGCATCGTCCTGGGTCTCATGACCTTTGGACCCCGAGCGGAGGAAGGCGCGCGCATCACCGACCTTGACACCTAGGAGATGAACGACACCTGGCTATGTGACTAGATTCGCACCGATCATTCGCCGAGTTCAACTGCAGGGTAGTCTTCGACAACGATTCAGCCAAGATTTCCAGGAGGCAAAGCGAAATAAATAGCTTCAGCTTAGATACGAAATATTCACCCCTCGGACAGATGATGATTCCATGCAATTCATAGCCGCAAGCTGTACTGAATGAATAGCACACACTGACAGCTACCGATGGTCAGCCCGACCAAAACTCACACCGAGCTTCTGTTGCTCCATGAGCCAATCGAGTGTGAATGGGGAGCCGCTGATGTCGCAAGGAAAGGACGATGGCTCCTCCTCTTGGAGCGTGATGCGACATTGTGTTGTCCGCTTCAACACGCGTAGCTCGACAGCTAGGCGAAAATTGCCCCCGCCGTCCCTGTGGGCGGCGGACACAGACGTATCCGGGGTGGTCCCTTCCAAGCAGTGGAAGGCTGAGCGCCCTGTCAGCTGCTGCAAGAACACGTCAAACTGCTCGGTGCCTGCGCGATGGCGGCAGAGGATATACCCTGTGCAGTGGTATGCACCCTTCACGAGACGCGGCGTGGCGGCTAGCTCAAAGTAGAACAGCTCAGCACGCACGCGTCGCGCCAGGCGCTCCATCTGCGGCGAACCAAGCACGCTGTCACGTGCCATCTGCGCGACGTGCGGCATGCTGCTCACGTCGTCCAACGCTGGCTGTATCCCGTCGTACTCCATGTCGAACCGAAAATAGACGCCATGGCCTTTATCCTCCTCTTGGCTCACCAGGTGTTTCCACGCCGTGCCGGCGTTTCCTTGCTTCCAAAAGGCCCGATATAGTCGCGCAGGGAACGAATCCTCCCACATCGCAGCGATCCCCGCGCTCGCCGTGGTACTGGAGCCAGCGGAACCCGTCCCCAGCGAGACGACGGTGCTTGGCTTAGGCGCCGCTGGGAAAAGAATTGCCGCCTCTTTGATGGCAATGGGGGCTGGGTTATTGTACCCGAGGCCCCCATCCTGGAATGTGCCGGCACCTTGGATGTGGTGGGCCGTGAAGTAACTGACGGCCATACTCAGTATGTGAACAAGGATCTCTGACCCGACACTTACTATGGCGCTGCAGTGCAGCAACGGAGACTGTTCAAGTCAGCACACGAGCATTCGACAGGGACCCGGACGCCACGAACATTTCCCACAGAGGCGCTGCGGCGACTCCCTGGTCGAATCGGAGGACTTCGTAGTCTGTCTGGTGTCAGCCATCTGAAAGAGCTCGCGGGATGGAAAGTACCCTGATTCTCATGATTCTCTGCGTTGTAGTTTGTCACGATGAAAGTGCTGCTGTCCTGTGCGCTCGTCAGTGTCACACCCACCAGGGTCCCCGCGCGGCTCGCTTCAGCGGAATCAACAATGCTTCGACGCGCGCCATACGCCTCCTGTTGAATGGCTTCGAGCTGGTCGGCGGCGTACTTGCAGTCGACAAGCAAGGACTTGACGAGCTCGACAGCAGGCGCCACAAAGGGTGCGGCGTGGAAGAGCGACCGCACGATGCGGGAGTAGCGAGATTCCTCGAACGCAAGCTTGGACGATGTTTCAAAGTACTCAATGCACTGGTCCACGGGCCAGCCGTTGATGCACAGCGCACATGCGATGAGGGCCCCTGTGAAGATAAGCCAGCTGGTCCGCAGGAGTCCAAGGGCACATGTACCTGAGCTGGTGCCGAAGACGACGTCAAAGTTCTGTTGGACGGGGTAGGGCAGGCCGATGGCTTCCTGCAGGACGCTGAGGAACTCGAGGGGAGCGCGACCCCTTGTGCCGCCCCCATCAATGCTTAGGATGCGTGTGGTGGCGGTGGCTGGTCGGACGCGGATGCAGGGACCAGCCGTTGCGCCGCATAGCAGACACTCGTCCGCATGGAATAGATACGGATCACCCGCATCAAGGCGGGCAAAGGTGCAGACACATGTCTGGCATACCCAGTGCCGACAGGGCAGGCAATATTGGGGTCTACGTCGAACACAAACAAAGCAGGTGCTTTCCGAGGACGGAAGCCGCTGGTGCCGTTGCACACTCGTCAACTGATGTCGATGGGCATCTCTTGCCGAATCGAGCTGCTGGAGCTGGGGGAATAGTTCCGTCATGCTACGCTCCAGCGACCGACTGAGGTCGAATGGTAGCGGCGGCATCTCCGCTGCTGCTCGGATCTCTTCCAGCTCAAGGGTGGCTTGGGCGCAGGCATCACGGTACAAGGAACGAAACACGTCCTGGGGATGGAAATCTAGGGAGCTTGTCAGTTACTTGGCCAGTGCGCTCCCAGCAGGCAAGGCGTACGGTGCATCCCAGGTGGGTACTGGTCTAGCAGGAGGCTCGAGGCGGCTGTGGGAATGGCACAGGACTCCAGCGTGTCGTCATCGCGTCCGCGGAAGAAGTTTACCAGGTGGGTTGCTAGATCGGAAGCAATGGGATTGGCCGCTCGCGCCATCTGGATCAAGTCTACCGGCGACCGTGGCGACCTACCTAGGTCCCGTGACGCCGCTTGGAGGAATGCGACGGTATGGCGAGCGGAGAAGAGAAAGCTTCTGTCGCGTCGCTCGCGATGGACTACTCGGATGGCCTGGTAGAGTTTCTGACGAAGAGTTCCTAATTGCTTTCTCTGCCACATCCCGCGTTGGGTTGGTGAGAATGTTACGATGGTGATGGACTGAAAATGACGAGTCAGCGATGCAGGGCCAGCCGGCTGGCCCATGCGAGCTACTTCAACACGCATCCGTTGGCCGTGCTCCCTCGGCACCACGACAATCAACACCGGACGGATGGGCGAGGTTGATGACCGCTCCCTCGCAGTCCAAGAGGCCAGGCACTCTATGGCGCGGTCAGGCCCGCCAATGTCAGCAACGAATAGACATGCCACATCGACAAAGGGAAAGACGAATCTCTGGTAGACTTCGTCGGCTGCCGGGACTGCGTGGTGCACATCTGCAGGCAAGTAGTCTTCGTCGGTTTCGTGGCACCGATATGATTTTGGTGCCGAGGGCAGCCGATTGTGGACGGGCAGGTCCCCATCGGCGACGAGGACTGGCTGAGTGGCACGGGCATGCGAGATATGTAGATGGATCTCACCGTGGTGTCTCGCATTACTGGGGTGCCTGCTCCCTGGACACATGTTGTTGAGAAAGAGGGACTTTGTGTAGTTTCCGATCAGCACCGCGATGCCATGTGGTTCCTCTGGATCGCGAACTTGTTCGAGCAGTCGCTGAGGCCTGTCTGAGACAGCCAGCATTACCCGCCCACTTTCCTGCCGCAGCTTTGTCCATTGCGCGTGTTTGCATGCGCTCATTGAATTGTATATGCTGGTGTCGTTAGGTGTGCTGATTGGCGTTTTATATATTGCTGACAACCGCTTTTGTCCGTCGTCGCCGTCCTGACTTGACCCAGCCTGCGTACTCGGCCAGCCCGATAATGGCCCGCAGAGCGAAGCTTCCTATTCGTGCACCCGGTCTGTTTGTGAAGCCGGGATCCGGATCTGTAGGTACATGAATCTACGTTGATGATCGAAAAGAAGCCGCGCCGGCGCTGCCACAGTAGCCGGTTTTGGACGAGCGCTATAGGTACTGTCAGGTCTTTATGAGTGGGTCGTAGCCCGTCAATACAGGTGCCATTTAGCACAGTGACTTTCACACAGTCGAACACTTTCAGCGGCCGACGAAGCACAGCTTTGTGTTCGGCAACTCGCCGTCCAAATAGAGAATTTTGCAAAACACACACTGTATGGAGCCCTTCTGAACCTTCGTGTTATTCTATTCGCTAGGAAGCTGTGAATGCTCAAGACTGTCTTCCCTGATAGATGTCGTCCCTTGGAAACGCAGGGATCCAACAAATTTTTAACCAGCCGGAGCGTGCGTTACCGATGTACGGCACGAGGTCAAGACTGGCAGTGTCGATGGTTCACACCAAGTACCCAACTGGACGAGGGCATCTCTATAACCTCATGAGCAGCTAGTACTGCGCTCGAGGCAGGACAGCCCTCGCGCAGGCCGCTGCCGGTACTTTTGGGCCGAGTCACGGATACTGTACACACCAGACGGCTGATGAACGGCGGCCGTCTTGGCGTCTTGTTGGCCCAGGCCAACAAGAACCGCGCAGGCGAGGGCACGCACATGCAGGTCGGAGATTTGATGGAACGGTCATGAGCAATGGGAGACGGCTGGGCAAGAGATGCCATCCACCGGCCGAGGGCGACATGGAGCTCCTTGACCTGGCGGTCTCTCTTGGCCGGACAGCTCGGCCCGGTCGTAACAGGGTCCCAGCATGAAGATTCTCTGGGCGACCGTGTGGTTCCGCGGGCACCTCCTTCATCATCTTGACCTCCTCACTGGGACGACAATTAAAGAGTATTCACTCGTCAACGTCCAGTCCTCTCGCCGTATCCCACACGACCAGCTCGGACCCTTTCATGCGCAAGGCCCAGTCTTTGCCTGGCCACAACTACCCTCGCAGGCTGTGCTCGTCTGTCTCGCCACGTCCTCATGGCTCGATCCAGAGGAGCTCCGGCTCCTCGTCCTTCCCTTCGTCCTGTGCTTTGTCTTCTTCTTGTGACTACTCTGCTTGCACTCTTTTCCCCTGCCACAGCTCAGTTGTCCGAGAAGAACGCCGGGAGCAACGGCAGCGACAGTCTCGTGGCGGGCGAGGATCCCCAGGCCATGATCGCCAAGGCCCTCAAGGTCCTTGCCGTGGCCAACAAGGACAGATTGCACCACCCGAGCTTCATCCAGCCAGCTGCCCACCACGCTCGGTGGGCGCATGTGGGCTGGTGTCAATGAGACCTGCCTCCGAGATTCGGACAGCATGTCGCCGCGAGCGGAGACAGCTGTGCTACGATCTGCATGAGCGCAGGCGTCAACATCAATCTGTTTCTGGCTGCCAACCCGTCCCTGGGCACAGACTTGTCAGAATGCAGCGCCCGTGTGGCCGTGGGGTCGGCCTATTGCACGGGGCCGACGTACGAATGGGCCGATGCGAACGCGAACACGGACAAGGACACGAGCTAGCGCGCGCATGTATGTGTATGTATCTTGGCAGCAAAGTGTCATAGCAGACTAGCTTCCCCTCAGAACATGAAGTAATTCAAGATGCCATCTACCTGATCGGGCAGCCCCAGTTCGTCGAGGCTGGCGTCGACGTCTATCAACCCAATGCAAAGGCGAATGATAGGAATCCCGAGCCCGGCCCTGAGCCACAGCCTGCCCGTCTCGTGGCCATCCACCTGTCCATGCTCGCCAAGGTCTTGACGCTTGACGGCGGCGACCACCTTAACGTAGAGCTGGCCGCAACGCCGCATTTGGAGTCGTAGAGGTATTTTCATCTGTAGCAAGTGGTCGATCCCCTGCTGGTCGAGCATAATACAGAACTCGAACCGCCCGACTGAACGGCCGAAGTCTGCACATTCAGGCAATCGCCGGCCCTTATCGTGGTTATGCTCCATAACCCACGCGTCAAATAACTCGCCCACCGTGTCGGGCCCTACGCCATCGAGGACAGACTTATCCTGGATAACATCACAATAGAACCTCTTGGCCAAGGCCTCGTTAGGCGCGGGGTCTAGGGGAGGTTCGAGCCGGCCCCTTTTCAGCGATAGCTCGCCAAGGGCGTATTCGTTAGCCAGTGCGTGTAGGCTTTCCACAGCCTGGGGAAACGAGTCGTTGGACTCGCTTGTATAGACGGTACGGAAAATAGTAAGGCCCCATGAGTATGGGCGGTCGTGTGAGTGAGACGCTTGATTGATTCGTTCGAGGTCGCGTCGAATAGGCCGGTTAGCTTCCGTCCCGTACTTGTGCCTTTCGGGGTGGTTTGTCATAAAGAGCTCCGGCGGAATGGGCAGGAATGATTGCATAGATTCCTCTGCGGGTAGAGGCGCGGGTGGAGGCATGGTGTATAATACTCGTGTGTAGCTGATAGAGTCAGGGCGCTGAGGGGGGGAAAGAATGTTTTCGTTCATGGAAGAGGGATAGGATGGATGATTGTGTCAGACCGAAAGGGGTCGGACCGCGGTGACTAAGCAAAGAGGGGTCTGGAGATGGCTGGAATGAAGCAATTAGCACACAGAACCATCGACGACGAAAAAACAACGAACACACAGTAAAAGGCCTTAAAATCAGCCTCTTGATCATCAATTCAAATAGCCTTTTTCTAGGCCCCTAAAATCTACTATTTCCTCGATTATGCACACTTGCACACACACACACTAACTCGGGCCGACCACCCGACATGTCGCTTAACAGCGCAATACGACACTGAGGCATCTGTATCACTTCAAGCTTTCAAAGTACAAATCGTACCACCTAGTCTTTATTGACGAATCGGGATGCGATACTATGACAACGCAGCGGCGGAGAGGATGGGCTCGGCGAGGCATCACACCGGTTCATGTCGCTGAGTTCAAACGTGAGGCGAGGCACCAGCTTATCTCAGCCTACACACAAGACGGCGTCATACTTTCTCGTGTCTTCTGAGGGTCCACGGACCACGAGATATTCGAGGACTTCATCAAACAGCTGCTCTGCCATTGTGGTAGATATCCACAACCGAAATCCGTCTTAGTGATAGATAATGCAAGCTTCCATCGTGCAGATAGGCTAAGGTAGCTGTGCTCGGCTGAAAGTGTTGAGCTTCTCTTTCTTCCACCTTATTCGCCGGACCTCAACCCAATAGAAGAGCATTTCGGGGAGCTGAAGGGGTTCATGCGGAAAGAGTGGAATCAAAAGGATGGCAGATGCGGATTATTCGCTACGTTTCTAAAATGGTGCATTAGCTACGTAGGGGCTAAGCGTGAGAGCGCCGAAGGCCATTTTCGACACGCTGGTATTGCCATAGACTACCCCGACTAGCACAATGCATCTCCGCCTAGATCTACGATGTCTCCGCCCACCACTCCTCCACCATGCTCACCCATTGGTGCGCTATACCGCGGGACATCCCGTGCGATAGAAAGTATTTCACCTCTTCTTCCTGCGCCACGTGGAGCCGATCCAGGGTCAAGCGCGCCTGGAGCGTCAGCTAAGCAATAGCATAAAACTCTTCTTTCCAATCTAGACCGTCCGCTTTACCGCAATACCAGTCGCGGTAACGCTGTATAGCTATGTCGCGACACTCCACGATTTTGATCTTCTTGGCAACGGGCGTCGCTTCCACCCCTGGCATCACGTTGGTGATGTTGATGTGCGGAGTATTAACCTGCTTGCGTTTCTTTGGCGGGTTGGCTATTTTATGCTGAAGGGTGCTTCGGCACGTCGCCGTGTTCTTTTAATATACCGCCTTTCTCGATATAATTAACTAATTTCGTGAGGATATTAGTTAGAACTGCGTGATGTGTCCCTCCATTAGGATCGCGCTAACAATATGGCCCGACTTCATAACCAGCGCCAGGCACTCCAAAAGAGAGAACTTGTTCCTAGAGTGTCATTTCTGCGGCGCCCGCGTCTCCGAGGATTGCGTCCCGTTTAAGGAGTTGAGAGTTTGTCGCGCTCCTCCCGCGGGCTTTTTTTATAGCTAAGGGAATCTCTAATACCTTATAAATGAAGGTAACGTTAATCGTTACTTTCTTGCCTTTCCGCATAAGATTAGACTATTTATCGATTTGCTTATCTACTTCTTCCTAGTTAACGTCGGACCCCGTGAAACGCCTAGGTATGTCCTCTTCGCCGGGAGCGTTAATTAAAAACACGATTTAGGTCTCTTAAGCCTCGTGGGTGTTAGCTAGTCGCTTCTAGGCCACGATATCTATAATCTCAGACTTAAGTTTATCACCCTAGAATATACTAGGGTAGGATATAATATTCTGGACTATATTCCCAGTGAACTTGTGCAGCCTCGTCTTCTTCTAGTAGAATATCTATTTAAGGGTATAGGGTGGGCAGGAAGCCTTGCTCTACTTATCAATAGCATGACCGGGAGAAGAAACGTCAAATTCATAATCCTCGGGGAAAAGCCACTAGCTAGGGCTACAAACCTCGCCCATCGTAACGGGAAATACTCTCCAGGCAGAGATTAATCGGAAATAGCTTCGGAACGGAGGCAGAGAGCGTTATTGCCCGATTATGGATGCATCGTTATCCGCGATCAAAATGGTCCGTACCAAACTCTGACCTAGGTACCAAAGCGCAGCCCGATCTAAGATTCTTAAAAGCATGACGTTACGCTAATACACTTACGCAGAGCATCGCCTCTTGCCCATCGTGTTTCAACCCCCTCATAAATGATACAGCTCCCTTTATCATGAGCTCCATTAGTTCCTACGGCCATGATGACCTTTGTGAGGTACGGTCTCCCACGGAGGTTGGCTCTCCCACGACACTTGACTCTGACGAGTCACCGCCTGTGGCTGCTGGCAATGAGGGCGGCTGTCTTCGTACGGAGGATCTGAATCGTTTAATGGACGCTCTAGACGAGCGCAGCATCAAGTTTCAGCGAATGAAAGGCCAAGAGTGCCTCCCTGAGGCGATGATGCACGACCAAGGTGCGGTTGTCCCGGCGGTCGTGGTGTCTCCATCCAATGAATCGGAGGTGGTTCAAACACTACAGATCCTCACCAAACTTGACCTCTACCATGGCGGCCAGGCTGTGTCAGTGAAGAGCGGAGGCCACGGTTATTTCAACGGCGCCACGTGCGCCGACATCATGCTCAATTTGTCGACCATGAGGCAGCGCAAGATCGAGCATAACGTTCTCACATTGGAGCCTGGCTGCCTCCTGGGCCATACCATTGACCTGCTTGCCAGGAACCACAAGGCGGTGCCTCATGGAGACTGCTTTGGCGTCGGCGCGGGTGGCCATTTCACCACCGCTGGCTGGGACATCCTGCTTGCGCGCCGCTACGGTCTTGGTTGCCAGTCGGTGATCGGTGGTCGGCTTGTTCTTTGGGATGGCACGGTTTGGGACGTGGGCGACAAGGACCATCGTGATCTGCTCTACGCCATGCGTGGCGGTGCCGCCGCGGGCACCGGCGTTGTCACGAAGATCCAGCTTCGCCTAGAGGAGGAACCGGCCCTGGCCACGTGGCAATTTGCTTCCGTCACGAAAGACGACCTGAAACACAGACTCGTAGCGCAGCGGGTATTTCAACGAGCCGAGAGCCTGCCCCGGGACATCACCGTCTCGCTTCGCTTTCACTACGAGCTCGGGGAGGACCAGCCCTCGTGTTCTTTCAATGTGACGAGCCTCTTGACGGCCAAGGAGACTCTTCAAAAGCTAGAACGGCATTTGGGTCCTGAGGTGTCCGAGCTGGTGTCTGATCTGACCCGATGGAATGAAGGGTCGTTGCTGGACTTGCGTCTGATACCCGCGTCGGACACGCTGCTGAAGAATCCCCAGATGTTGGCGGAGATGACTGCCCGCTCCCTACATGACAATCCACGGTTGTACTGGAGTGAACAGCAGTGCTTGCGCGAGATGGAGCGATCTCACCTTCTTTCGCGCTCGTACTGGGTCACAAATGACTGCGATGACATGTTCCTTGCCATACAGGACGCGTTTGCATCTGCACGGCATCACCCATGTCGAGAGCGCATGTACGTCTTGGTTGTCTTGGGAGGTGGTCGGATGCTGGACTCGGATCTACCATGCGCGATGCCGCTAGGCCAAGTGCTCGCCCGTTTTGAGTCGCACTGGCTCAGGTCGGAGCATGAAGGATGGTGCCACCAATTTGCGCAGAACATCTCGAACATCATTCAGTTGCATGAGGATCCCGTACCACATCGACCCTACCGAGGCGATATCTGGTTGCCGGAGCAGGCGAGTGATATCGTCTTGGACAATATCTCGGCAACATACGATACCCGGGTTGCAGAGGACCGCGCTACATCCTAGGTGTCAGAAGCAGGAAAGTATGTATCGACTATACTGCGATTTGATTCAAGTACGGTTATAATCGAATCAGTGGATACTTCGATAGCGAGACTACTGGCTTCACTAGCGTTGGCCGCAGGGAGGAGTATAGGATTCAGAAGGAAAATCCAGAGCTCGGTACTTGATAAGCAAACAGCGCGTAGCATCAACCCCCTGTATAGCTGGAGTCTTGCCTGGCATCCTATCGGAAGGCACAACGCAAGTACTCATATAATCTTCATTTAATATGCCACGAACCCTTTCCAACCCCCTCGAGGACATACTTGTCACCGATTTACGAGGCTGCTACCTGATCGTTGGAAGTCCCGATTGCTGTATGGAGTATGTGATGGAAAGACACCTGCTAACTTGGCAGTTCTGCTCGATATTAAGGAATGATTGCGTCTTCCTAGAATCGTGCTGAGTTTTGGCCCTTAAAGAGGCAGCAACTCATCATGATGAATTGAGTGTGGAAGCAAAAAGTCCGCCTAGCTTATCGCAGAGCTTCGACAGCCCTGAATACCACGAGCTACCCGTCTCACACCGTCCTTGCCGTAGTTGTACGCCCACTGCAGCCCGCCGTTCACATAGAATGCGGGAAGACTAGTACGTATCTCCTGCACGAACTTCTGGAAAGGATCACAATTCCGCTGTGTTGATACTTTCTGCGCCAAGTGGCGGCGGTAGA